CTTAGCTTTAGAAAGATACTGCAAGATAGAAATTCATGCATTTACTGACGAAAAGACAACAACGATTTTTTTTATCGTCATTGAACACTTACATTAGTTGTTGTCGACTATCTCTAACAAAAAAAAATCAATATAATGTTTTATTACTATATTCATCTAATCCTGTAAATAGATGAGTAAAATCTGCACTGTGGACACACTAGATTTTGGAAACTTTCAGAGTCCAAACATCCTTGTTTTCGTTTTCGCATTTATCCCGATGGAAGATTTCTTTTTTTTATTCATGTAGGGCTCCTATAATTTTTTCTAGCCAATTCTCATATCAATCGATAACTATTGACGAGCTATGTCCGACGCTACTATGCATATCGTGTAATAATGTCTTTGCTAGAAGCTACATGGCGTCTAGAATTGTTGCTGTTACTAATTATAGGCGAAGACACGTGTATTTTATCACCCTCACTCGCATTATTCGTGTTGGGTATGTCACCAAAGATTTTTATTTTCGTTTTTTAAATTATTTGTTAAGATTTTCTTCTTCATCATTTTGTGAAAAAATACAAAGCGGGTGAAAAAATAGCAGGAAGTGCGGATTGCAAGATACCACAATAAATTGAATAGAAGAAAACTGACCGTAATTACAAGTAAACTATGAGAAAATGATGTACATACTACCGCAAACAGCACCGTTACAATCTTCGTTTTAACCGACCTGAGTACTAAACTGTAATCTAACTCACCAATTGTCGTCTTAATGTTGGCATAAATCTGACAAGTTTAAGTATACGTAATAATCTAAATGTACGTAAAACAGATAATCCACTATGTTTTGTTCCATATAACTCAATAAGACTAATTAAAACAATTCCACCATCAAATATATTAAATAGATTTTTAATATATTTTAAACAGCCTTCAGCAATTATTTTAAATAACATTTCAATTGTAAATAATATTGTAAAAACATAATTGCTATATTCTAATACATTTGTTAATGATTGTGATTGTCCATGATATTCAATAGACATTGAAAGTGTGTTTATAATAATAGCTGAGAAAATAATGCGATCAAAATATTTGTTAGCAACAGCACGGGAAATTAACTTTTGTATTATTGTAAAACATGAACAACAACAACAACAATAAATTTCATATGTTTGACGAAATTTTGATTTTTCTTCTTGTTCTTCTTCTTCTCGATTATGGCCGAATGTATTAAGAATTTCATCTTGATAATAACAATCACATATATAATTTCTTTTTATTTGTTGTTCTTGCCGTTCAAATTCAAGATTTTCATTGTTTCGTCGACTTTTTTCAATAAGTAAATTATTCTTTGCTGACGTTAGAGCATTTATGTCTGGACCAATATCATAATTACTAGTGCCATGGTCAATCGATTCTAATAATGGTGTTGATATTAATAATGATTGAGATTGATGATATCGACAACTTGGTTGATGTTTTTGATTAATTAGTGGAGTTGACGAGACTATATTGAAATTAGATGAAGGTAATGCATTTCGTGTTAAGACCTTTTTTCTTGTTGTTGCTTTTGGGTCATGTCTTTGATTAAACTTTGAAAGGACAATTATTTAATTTTATTTCTTTTATATGTATAGATATTAATCAAAGCTAAATGATTTTTGGAATTGTCCAAAATTTTTTCGATAGCACTATTGTTCTGAATGTAATTTAAATTCACTAGAAGATATCCTTTAGTGAACTCGATTACTTTTCCACAATCGATACTAGAGGCCGAAAGCGAACCGAACTGTATCCAAACAGAACAGAACTGGAAACCGACTTTTTCGGTTCGTTTCGGCCTTTCATCTATACCGTTGAAACTGTTTTCTAATCGATTTGATTACGAATCTAATAGTCAATCAACGACAGTAGAAGAGAAAGGTATCCTTTAAGTAATGTTAAGAAACAGTGGATTTCTGAGATGCGAACGAATGAAATTTAAAGCTATCTCTCAGGTGAAAATTTCTTCTGATCTTTTTATTCTGCGTCTACGTGATAGAAATATTTGGTACTAGTTTTATGGATGTATAACAAATACTTAAATTCATATTGCAAAATTATTCTTCAAATAATCTGATTGATTGATCTTTAATTGACTGACTAGGACTTATTCTTTCGAAATTAGCATTTCAATCTTCTCCTATTAGAAATTGTTAACCTGATTGATTTTATGCATTCTTTTGCCATACCTACTTTATCACGTTTTTGTCGATAATTTTTCCAGATTATTCTGAATCGTTTATATGCACGTTTCGATAATCGTTCAAAATATTTAATTATTTCTTCCCAACAAGAATCTCGTTGATCAGTTGTTACGGTAGTTGATGAACGTGAAAAGCGGCTTTGTTCAGTTAACATTCGTTCTGTTTCACGTTTTTTTGTTACACTAAACTGTGTAGAAATAACAACCAGGCAAAGATTCATCATAACAAAAGAACCAATAATAATAAGACATACAAAATAAATCCAATCCCAAAATGAATGCGCATCTTGTATATAATACATTATACTAACCCAGTTTTCAAAAGTAATTATCTAATTAAATAGACCAAATGAACATAGAAATATTGAACGAATGAATAAGAAACAAACCTGAAAGATAGCAAGCCATGCTAAACCAATATTGTCGAAACTAATTGATCCAGAAAATGGATTTTTATCAGAAATAGCACATAATTGATAATATTGATTCCAATTAATACATCCATTTATTGCTTTATTTGTTAATGATGAACTCAATGCATGAAAATCAAGTTCACATGTCATATTATCCCGACGAAATGGTGGAATATCTGAACATTTTGTCATTCCACTTGAGGATGGGTAAGAACAAATAAATGAATCTTGGTCAGGAGGAATATAAAAAGATTGGAAAGGGAAATCACTTAAAAAAGAAAATAATAAACTGTATATTGAGTTTTCGTTAAGCATACTCGAATATTGCATAATTATATATAATTGTAGTATTCAGTTGTAAAAAACAACGATTACGTAATAATCCTTTCCATAATTGTACACCAATAACACCAAAGATAAAAAAGATAAAAAAACAGAGCAGAAGTACATTGCCCAGCATAGGTAATGTATCGAGTAGAAGCATAACAAGAATACGCATTGATGGTACACGATTAATAACACGTAATGGACGAAGTACTCGAACTGTACGAATAGCTGATAGACTTAAATGATCACCTGGTATAAAGAATTCCACTAATCTAAATGCTAATAGTTAACAACTTTTCATTCTCATGTCTACGCTTTATTGTCTCTTATCAATGCGAAATATGCATTAAAAAAAGTCGATCTTGCTATAAAAATTATTTTCGATGTATCGAGATGAAATATTAACATTGGAAACTGAAAGCATGTTTTAGACAGAATTTTAAAAGATCCTTCGCAGCGTTAACTTTCAAAATGTCTTTTATTGATGATTATTAAAAAAGTTCAAGTATTGAGAGCTCTCAAATGAGTTCAAATAAACTGAAACCCTTTTAAAGTCTTGCATAAAAATGTTTGTCACTTCCGACGATTTTCGTAGTTAAAACTCGTTAAATTTCTGATGAATTTGTCAAAGAAAATTTTAGTTTTTTTTGGTTCAAAACAAAAGTTGATATGATCATACCCGGTAAGAACAATAAAACAATCAAGTCGATTCCATGATTCAGCAAGATAAGTTTCTTTACCAAATATTCCCATCGCTGTCATTTTAATACACATTTCAATTGTAAAAAATGCAAAAACAAAATAATCTGTTGCTTGTAGCCAAATACAAAGTGCTGTATCGCATTTTTTCGATGACTCTTTGCCAGTATGATGTGCACATGGTTGATACATACCAAGTATAATACAATTAAGCAAAATAACTAGCATGCTTATGTGTTCGAACCATGGCCATGTTATAAGTTTTAAACATTGATAACGTGGTGGTGTTGTTTGTCGAAGACAATAAAATGCTTTTTCAACAAAACCTGGAAATGGTAATTTATTTTCATTTCTTTGTTCAAAATTGGACGAATCTGGGAAATTGAATAAAATATTTGATGAACCACGTTCATTAGGAAAACGACCAGTTTCATCTATATGTGAATCATCATTTGAAATATTAACAGCTGTTGGTAATGATGTATGAAAAATGTTTTTATTTATCAAATTATTATTATTATTATTCATATTATTTGCAGTTGTCAAAGGATGCTTTTCCATGATCGAACAATCGCTATTACTGCATGATAAAAATGAAATAGAAGGTAAGGACGACCAGCATCGATAAGCACCTAGAAATTAAGAAAGTATTATTTATAATTAGCGCCATAAAAACGTAGATCTATGTCATCATCAATTGTTTCACATCGTACCAGTTTCCAACTGAACTTTTCAATGTAGATATTGCGATATAATGCCCATCAAATTACAAAAAAAGATGATATGTATATACATGGTGTCCTAAAAGTCCGAACGAAAAGTAAATTACTATAACTCCACTATTTATCAAACTTAAGCAACTAATTTTTTTTATTCAAACGATAGGTATCACAGTGAAGCTTTTATTTATACGGACAAATTTCACAAATACTGTGCAAAGTTATCAATTTTCACTAAAACGCAACAATCAGTCTTTTATCGATTTCAAAAAAAAGAAACTACGCAGAGTTTCTCTTTTGATTCTTTAAGTACTTGTGTCTTTAGTAGCGTTTAGATCGACCACATCTTGTGCTACCGTTTGTATACCTTATTTCTGCATATTAATAGAAGCCTCACAGTGATGCCTATCATTTGAATAGAAAAAACAACTAGTTGATCAAATTTGATAGATAGGGGAGTAATAGGAATTTAGTTTTTTGTTCAAACTTTTAGGATACCCTGTATATCTGTATGTTTATGAATAAGTGAAAAAAGTATTGTCAACTAGATAAAAGAAAGTGTGATCTTTTCCGGTCGAGATTTTTTCCTCTCTGACTCAAGTTTATTTATCTCACACGAGCTAAAGATAAGAAAAATGATTCTACAGGAAAAATATGATTTTTTTGCTAAAATATACTGGCTTTCGAGTAAAAAAGGTAGTCTAACCTTCACTTTTCATCATAGTAATTGCTTTTCTTTTTCTTGAGTCTGCCTACTGTGAAAAAAAAGAGACCTGCAAAATTATTTTTGGTTCTGGATCGTTTGTAGAACCATATCCAGTTCTCCATAGTAGCAGAAAAACAACAAAAGGGTTTATCTCGAAAATCAGAACTATCAAAGATTGTGCAAAAAAAATTCAGAAGCATTTAGAGAATTTTGCTCCACTACACTGAACTGAACAGGTTCTGTCTAGTCACTCGGAGCGTGGAAAAGTTCTGACGAAAAATCCTGAACCATCTAAATTTCTTAATTGGATGATGCTGAACTTAAAGAATTCTATCCAAAAATATTGAACTATGAAAGGCTTTTCGTTCGAAAATATTTGATCAAAGAGATCTCGTTAAATAATACTGGATCCTAAAGAATTCTATCTGTTCTGTAAAACTTTTCAGCGTGTCAATTAAAATAACGACCTACAACTGACATAAAAGAGAAAACATTGATTTAGCAAAGCACTTATAACGAAGACTTTGTGGAAAAGGATTCGGTATGGAACCCTTTTTTTTTCAGTGCGGTTTAGAGTATATTCGAAAGAACTATTTTCATATATTTGTTTCCTTTCCTACATTTCACGAGTCTTTATCGTGTAAGAATTGGACGATATCTTTCGCCGATCGAAAACGCCATGTGTTTTTATTTCCTTCGACCATAAAGACGAATCAAGTCTCTTTTGCTTTTGTTTTTGTGTTAACTCTTGAAGTACCATGACTCTGCCTGTAAGAAAAATTTCTATCAGTTTTCATATTTAAGACACTCATAGTACAGTATTATTATTTTCATGAAAACTTTTTAAAATATCTTTAAAGTCATTTTCGACCCATGCCCATACTCTCCCACGGTGATGACCAAGAATTATTTCGGTCATTTCCTTGGGGGAGTAAGGGTCTGGGTCAAAATCTGATTAAGAGCTATTGCAAAATCAACTTTTGAAATATCACTAGGAGTCACTCCTAAATTGATTCCAACACGGAAAATCGAAAACTTCTGTAGATCGCAAAAAGTTACTATCTGGCTTTTTCCTTTTCAGATTAGAGGTGGCGTCCCAAGAACCCGGTAGACTTACTACCTGAGTGACCTCATTAGGGTTATAACTCTTATACAGATGTATATACTGAAGTCTCTTTTATGTCATAGAGAAAACGCGCTTCAATATCATTTCGCGTTCGTGAGTTATTCAAAAACTAAGATACTTAAAAAGTATCCTTTATTCGGGACGCTAGTACTTACAGGGTTTATCTATTCACCTTGTTTAGCCGTTATTTATCTAAGAATAATATTGGGGGTTTGGATGCGATTGCTCTTATTTTCTGATTCACATCCACACCATCGTTAAACTTGATTCGATTGCAGAAAATAAAATGAAAAAGTGAGTAAAAAAAACTCCTAAATTTTTTCTGTAATTAACATAATATACAAAAGTTTTCTGAATCCGCTCGTGTTTCAAATTGTACTGTAACAATGGTTAAAACAAGCAGTTCCACTATTTTCAATATGCTAGTAGAGATTCCTTTTTTCAACGAAGGTACAAATGACTCTAGCTTGTCGAACAACAGTTGACAGTTCAGTTTAACAATATCTAATTATGCACATGAAAAATTACCTTTGGAAACTGTTCTGTCAGGAAGACAAACGTCAAACTTTGAGACGACTGATGATAAAAGTTCATCGGCTTTGACGAATTTCATTGGGACATTAGTGGACAACGATGGTAATGGTAATTGTTTTCGATCTACTTTACCGTTTGCATTCAGTGGAAATTTGTCGAGAACAACAAAATAGGATGGAACCATGTGTTTACAAAGATGGTCTTTGCAGTAATTTCGAATCAATTCAGTGTCCAGCTGCGACTTATCACCGATGATATAAGCTACGAGTAAATCCTCGTCTTGGGATAATTTGGTCACGAGACAGTTGGAGATCTCATTTAAGCAACAGGCTATAATTGTCTTCTCCACTTCAGCCGTTTCTATTCGTTGATCATCAATTTTTATTTGAGAATCGATACGTCCAACATGCACGAATTCACTTTTTGCATTGTAACGAGCAAGATCACCTGTCTTGAAAAATTCTTCATTATTGATTATTATCCGAGTTCTACTGGTCAACTCAGGATTATTGTAATAACACTGGAAAAGACCAGCACCTATAAATATGTGGATGACAAAATTTCACAATCTTTAGCAGAATAAAAGAGATAATACCTGCAAGATAAATTTGACCAATTCTGTTTGTATCCAACGACGAAATGACTCGATCATCGTTGTTACTTTCATCCATAAGTAAACAATGATATTCCGCTAGCGAATAACCGATAGGTAGGATACTTAAATTTGAAAGTTCATCAATGCTCTCTTTGATTTCGCACCCTATAGCAGCACTTGTTTCACGCATGCCGAATATTAAAAAGATGCGGGTTTGTGAAGAAAAAGACTTGATTTTAGCCAGATGTTGTGTTTTAGGAGATTCACCTGATATCCATAAGATTCGTATCCGTTCAAGTGTTTCATTACGTTCTCTAATGTTCAGCTCGAGGTAGTCAAGCAAAACTTTAAGCAATGATGGATTGATAAAGAGAATGGTAATTTGCTTGTCATTTATAGTCTTGCAAAAACGGGACATATACAAATTATCGCCAGATGGTAAAAGCACTAGTGAACCTGAAGGAACTATCACAAGTGGCATCAGAATTTCAAACAAGTGAATGGCCCAGGAGGATGGAACTACTTGGAGAACTTTATCACCATGCTTGGTGTCCCAAATCATCAAATTATGAATACCTGCTATAAGAGATGCGTGTGTGTGCACAATTATATTTTGTCGACCGGTTGTACCAGATGTACAAATAATAAAACTTGGACTGTCACTCTCGACATATATCTCTGAGCAATGAATAAAATATGTGAATGTGAATTTGTTCAAAAAAAGTAATTACGTTTTTCAGTGACTTCTTCTGTCATGTCAGCTAGTAAAATATGTTCAAAATTGATCATTTCAATTTGCTCACTAATCATACTTGAGAACCTATCGCGTGTATTTTCGTGAACGAGAACACACTGAGCTTGAAGTTCATCAATCAATACACGAACATACATAGGTGGATCAGTAGGACTTAGCGGACAGTATGCACCACCAGCACACATGATTCCCAATAGTCCACATACCATCTCTAAACTACGATCAACATACTGGTAGACAATTTGACCTATCTCGATTTGAAGGTGGCGAGCGACACATATCACATTCATCAGTAGTTCCCCATATGTCCATGTCTGTTCATCGAGCTCGATCGCCACCTGATTTGGAGAGGCATACGCTACTTCAAAAAATAATTCGAGAATGGTTTTTGGCGACACTGTCATGATCGAGGTTAATTTACAATCTATAAAATATATAGAAGAGAGAGCGTTTACGCGAGACAATAGTGAATATGAAAGACGAAGAAATTGAGGGAATGATAAAAAACACTAACAGAGGAGCTAACTACAACGAGACAGCTCTTTTCATTACATGGTACATAGAAAATTACTCCATCAATGCTTTAGAAGGGCAAGAGCAATCAGTATCAAGCATTATAATCGGTATCTTTCCCTTACACTTGGAATTTGATACTAATTCATGTATGCTCGTTTTTAATCATGCAAAGACAGTTAATGTTCCTAACAAGAACAGATATTTCGGAGCTGTAATGAGTTTTATTTTTTACTATCCAGTTTTATATAAAAATATAGATATTTTAATATGATTGAGTAGAGAAATGTTTTCAGTACCGAATGATGTAAAAATCATTCATATATCTAAAAAATGAAAGAGTAATTAGCGGTAATTTGCGAATAATTGAATTTATTCTTGTTAGGAGCATTGTTTCTAATAAGAACAGTAAACGAAGAACAAGAAAGAAAAATTTTTTAAATCACTAAACAGTCGATTTCACTGCCCGAACTTCAAAATCTCGATATACCTCTGGAGCAAAAAATATTCCTGATGAATACGAAAGAATCATATTCAGACGTGAAAAAAGTTCATTTACTGATAAAATTTAATTTTCTATATATTTTCTATAGACTGTTCTTATTGGGAGCAGTGCTCCTAATGAGAATAAATTAAATTATTCGCAAACTATCGCTAATTACTTTTTCATTTTTGGAGAGTATATGAATGATTTTTGCATCATTCGATACAGAAAACATTTTTCTACTCAAACATATTAAAATATTTATATTTTTATATAAAACTCATCATAGCGTCGAAATATCTGTTCTTATTAGGGACATTGGCTGTAGCAAGCGTCAGGGTACGTTGACTGTATTGTTCTAAGAACAATTGTTACCAACAATGGTCTTCCATTTTTTCATAGGACAATATCTGTTGTTTTTTTTCTCATACTATGCAAGTGGGATAAATAAAACAAACTCGATTACTAATGATGTATTGAGCAAAAATGAATTGAAACTAAAATTTGTTGACGAGACTTCAAAAAAAGATGACTCTATTTGAGGAACATAGTATAAAACCCTCTTGTAACTTGTAAACGATAAAATAGAATAGAAGGCTCGGGTGTTCTAATGTGTCAATGGCTTTATTTCCACGCACCACTTTCATTATCGATCATAACAGCTACATTGTTTTCTTCAAACATTGTTCTTGGTGTTGCTTAGGAATGAGTAGACGCTGAAAGTTGATAGTGATTGACTATGTATAGATTGCTGTTCCTCGAGAGACGACCTGAATTGATTTTTTTTCACTGCATTTTCGCTCTTATGTACAAAACACAGTAGAGAGTGAGATATTACTTTTTTTCTATACGTTGTTTTTCTGATGAGAGTTTTGAGATTCTTTTTGTATTGCAAAAAAGAGCATGCCAAACAACCCTGGTAGCTAATGAGTAGTGCGGAACGAAGTGAAGAACGCAAATGAAAGATAAGCGTATATGACAAGCATTGCAACGGTGTACCAAAAATGATCGAACGAAAAAAATATCATCAAGAAAATTGGTCACGACGCAAATTAGCTGAGAAAATTGAAATTTGAGAGCTGTGCATGTTATCACGTACACCTTTATCGACATTAACAAAGTAAATAACATACAGTGGCTACCAAAATTATTCAACAAGCAAACAGATAGTTGTTGTTTTGTTCATATTTCAGAAGCTAGATGAACTAAAACAATCTGAGGTATAATTACGAAAAATTTCATGTCGATCGATCTATCTATCTATCTATTGAGAGTTTATTGATGATACAATTAGAGTAAACTGTTTTTCATCGTTCCAAAATTATCAATCAAGTTATCTTTGCGAACTTTTGTGCGCTCATTTGAGTATAAAATTTTCTTTACGTCGTAAAATTCGAAAGAGCGAATTGTGCTCTATACAATGGCTACTTTTTATCACGCCATCCTAGTGAAAATACTCATCAAGCGACTACTACTTGACAGCATGAACACTCAAGTTACTCGTTCAAGTACTTGAGAAATTTTATTTGTAGTTTTAATTTGAGTGTACTCGAGCGAGTACTGATATGAGTTGTTTCTCTAAAATTTACTCACAGACAACAGCATAAGTATTCAAAATAATTTTTGGCAGAACGTGTAACAAAACACCAATGTGCTAGCATGCACAAATATAAAATAAAGTTGCATAAAAAAGGAAAATGATGAAATTAAATGAAAAATAGAAATGAAATATTCTGAGGACTCATTTATTTTATTCTCCATTTTAAACTGATAAGTCACTTCTACCGCTTGAATGAATGACTATATCTAACGAACACAACAACGACTTTTCATTTTCAACAGTTCATTTTTCGAGTAAGATTAAATATCTGTCGAGATGTACAAACGATAATTCGTTGAATTTCAATTTCTAAATTTTAGGCGAAATATCCTTTCAGATTAATACACACTTATTCCTTCGTATGCATCGATAGTGACTGAAAATATTTTTACATATCTGATATACTTTCATATTCATACTTGGGCACGTTTCTTTTTCTCTCTTTTTTTGTTTTAATCACCCTATTTGTTGCTTTCAAGTGATGACAAGGACCGATAAGTCATCAAGAACAACTATAAACGACCGTCTAAAGAAAATTTCCAACAACTCCCAAACACCAACCTCCACCACCCAATCCTCAAAAACCGCATTCGAAAATCATAACAATCGTAACTGAAATAAATGTTTCGGACAGAAGCCAAGTGAAATGCAATCATCTCCACCAATCAATCAAACACTATCAAGAGCAGTAAAAGAATTATTACAAAATGAAAAATTTCCTTCCTATACAGTAATATTCAAAAAGTCGTGTCATGATGAACATTCCATTTTAGAATGGAAGAAAAAGATGCTTATGAACTAGATATTACGGGTAGATGCGGAGATGAAAAGCGTTCTTTAGTCTTCACCAACGATGAAACAAGTTTTGAAAAACTGTTCAATCAAGGAAAATGACCAAAAATAATTGCTGATATCAATTTTGAATTAAAAATTCCACGCATTGCATCAGCGACATACTCTATAGTAATCCAACAATTCTTCAACAGCTGGAGCATAGAGGAAGTGTTGCAAGACTTAAAAAATTGATATCCTACATTAATTAACATAACAAGTATGTATTCTATCAACAATAAACCTTTACATTTAGTGCATGTCCACTTCTGCTCACTACAACAAGTGAAGAAATTATTAAATGATGGACGAATAACAATTGATCATATGAAAAACCTGGTAAAACAATACCATTCATCGGCAAAGATCAACAAATATATGAAATGTTACAGCCATCATCACAACACAAATAATGTCCTAGTCCAGTTCAATTATGTATTTCCTGTGGACTTGATTATCCACTCAACAATAATTGTCAAACGAGATTAAATGTATTAACTGTGGTGAAGATCACTATACTGTTCACTCAACTTGTCCAGAAGTGCAACAAATTTGCCGTCAAATCAACCAGAATCAAAAAGAAAAAAGAGCACAACTATTAATTCATCTGGAACAAGCACAACAACAAATCATTTCCATCGTTACCGCCAACACTAATACATTAACAACCATACCAACAAAGATATCAACCCCGACCATACACATATGCTTCAACTGTACAATCATAAAAACAACAACAAACATCATATAGATATGATCACAGCCGGCACAGCATCGAAAACTTTTTAACAATATTTTCAAATAAAATGAAACGTCGATTACGGCAATTTGAAGAAAGATTAATAAATTAAATCATTGAATTAGAAAAAAGGTGGACAATCTCAAATTCACCTCTAGTGTACTGGAAAAATTGATCTATGAAACGGTGTTACCCGCAATGAAAACAATGCAAGAATTTGCCTTTAGAAACACCAGAATTGTTGCAGCACGTGAAGATTTAGTCAAGTA